AAGCAGGTGAAGCAGGATCTCTGCTTGGCACGCAGACCGCTGTCGGCGGGCTTCCGGGCGCTGTTGCCAGCAGAGCCGAAATGAGAATCAAGACAAAAAGCCCCAGGAAAGCTTGCCGAATGCAGGCGAGCTGCTAGCCGGAGTCCAGAGCACCATGCCCGGGCGCAATGTTCGCTTGGGCGGCTGCGTGCTGAAACTTGGCATGCGGCATTTGGTGACATGCAGATGCAGAGGCGGTTTTGCAGTTGGACTTGCGACTGGAGATCGTCTGCCTTTGCTCGCTTCGCATCGTGCTCATCAATGAAGTTTGGCTGCTTGTGCCTACATGTTTCCTGGTGCTCTGGCTCCTGTACAGTCTAGTCCGACGAATGCCGCGATCCAAAAGGATAATAAGGGCTCGACAGTGTCTTCGCTCAGACGCTAGCGGGCCAGCTTGACCTCACAACTTTGTCATGCCTTGCAGCCTCACATCAAAGGCCCATGACAACCTCAAACCCACGTGATGCTCAGGTTCTACCGGTTTTCAGTTGGTGGAATGCGCAGCCCTAAGAGTGAGCTCGAGCTTTCAACTCTTGAGACTCGGTGAGAGTGCCGTAGGTAAAGCTTCTCATGGCTCCCTTTGTAAGGCACGATGTGGCGGAGATCCGCGGGCATCGCCGAACCTATGTGGCAGCCTTGGCAATGTCGCGCCTCTAGAGTTGTTATGTTATTTTGTATTACATGATACTATGTACGACTTATATATATATATATATATATGAATGAGTCTATGTGATAGGTTATATGACCAGGCATGGCCAAGGCAAGAGGTGTTGGCGCCATGCTGGTAGGCTGCAGATGTGCGAGGATGAGGATGTAGGAACACCGTCAGTGGCAGCTGTTTGCCTTGGATTCCCCCAGCTTGAGACAGCGTCGAGATGATCATCCATGTTTAGGAGAATCTTCCAGTTTGCTGAACTTTAAGCCATGCTGTCGATGAATCAACAACGCGGCACTCTATGGTGTTGTTTCAAGGTTCTCCAGGCCGTGTGCCGTAGGCCTCTCCTTTTTGCAGTCTCAGATGAAATATCGCAGCCCGCACTGTTGAAAGCATGACCGGCGCCCGGAACCGTGCCCACTGCACGTCATGCGCCGCCTGCCGCAGCTTGCCGTTCAGGTGCGAACTGAATTCGGTGCACAGAGTGCCAGAGAGCTGATAGGTTTGACGAAGCCGAGTTGGGCATTCAGAAACACCAAGGTAGTGCATGCATGCAAAGGCTCTGAACGGCTTAATGCTCCTTGCCTGAAGTGCTCTCTTGTGCCTCCTATCCTCTCTGCCTGAAGTGCCCCTCTGTGTCTCCTATCCGAGAAGTCGCAGTGCTGAAGTTGGGCCCTTTGAAGGCCATGGACCGTTTGAAGGCCAACAACCCCGCAGACTTTGGGCTACCGGAGCTGTTGATGTCAAAGTCTCAGCCTATGGTCCCACCAAAGTTTCAGCCTCAAGCACCCTTGGACAAGATTCTCCAGAACCGAACAACCCGAACGCCCCAACTCATGCATCTGACAACTTTCTTCAACTCGTGATGTCAGCTGGCCCGTGGGATTGCCAGCTCGTCAGACGCCGCGGTGCAGGGAAGGCCGATTTTTGGGTGAGTTTGCAGCTTCGAGCTGGGCTGGTTCGTTTAAGGTTCTTGTAGAGGTAGTTGTATAAGTACAGTGCCCCGTTTGGTACTGCTTTGTTCCTGAGCTGCCTTACACCACTCCCTGTTTGAGAGGCCACCTGCGCCACGCCGATACGGCGTGGTGATCGACGGTTAAAGCCTCAGAAGTGACAGGCACTTACTGCCTCAACTTCAGGTTTTAGAGGGTATTCAGATCATTCGGATCCCCAAGCGGATCCTACATCTGCTTTTTTCAACATTTCCTAAGCTCTTCCGTGGTCCCCACCAAGGGGCCCCAAGCCATCCCCACCCTTGTCCTAACAGCATCCCTGAGCCTTAGGACCCCTTGGCTCATGTGCTTCGCATCTAAGCCGCTTCGCATCCACGGAGGTGCAGCTGGTTGCTGGGAAGCCAAGCCCTAAAGCCCAAACCCTAAACCCTAATCCTTAAGCCCTAAACCCTAAACCCTTCTGGCCGCAAAGGCGACGTCTTTGGCCCCCGCCACTTCCCGGCCCTTCTGGCGGCCGTTCGCCGCCGCGGGTACCTGGTCTCCGGTGTGGTCTGCACTGCACTTCCCCCAGACTATACTATTTTGGGGGGGATCCTTATTTTGATTATTACTATTTTTGGGGGTTCCTTATTACAATTATTACTATTTTGGGGGTTCTTTATTATTACTATTTTGGGGGAGTCCTTATTATAATTATACTATTTTGGGGGGCTCCTTATTGTAATTATTACTATGTTTTGGGGGGCTCCTTATTATAATTATACTATTTTGGGGCACTCCTGATCATAATTATTACTATTTTCGGGGTTCCTTATTATAATTATTACTAATTTTTGGGTGTTCCTTATTATAGTTACAGCAATATAGTATATTGGGCCCCACAACCCTACTCCAACTGTTAAGAACCCCTACGTTATCTTGCTCAGGAAAACCAAGGCTTGCGGGGAGAAGATTTGAGTGAGGGCCTTTCCTTCAAGCTGCCGTTGTTGATGTTTCGCTGTGGATTGGGCTCAAGTCCGCTTTGTTCGGGTTTTCTACAGCGCAACCGTGAAGTTCTACATGTAACTGCAGCCTCCCACTCTCCACCGGTTTCCTGACTCCGAATGCTGGACACTGCTTCCTTCTCGTATCTTCTTGCACAGGTGCTGGGGTGTAGCTCAAGGCTCAAGTGTGTCGTTGGGGTTTTGGGGAATCCGTGGCACAGCATGTGTATCAGGCTTTCAACAACGATTGCACTCCGGGTTGTCTGTTGCTGCTTCTAGTTGGAATCCTTTCCCTTCCCATCACCATTATCATCACTTCTTATGGCCATTGCCACTGCCACAATTCGAGGTTTATGTGCCGACAAGAGAAGCCAGCGTTGCAAACCTTCTAATCGTAGCGAGACCGGATTTCGCAGTCGATCCAGGCCGCCCCACCGCGTGGGGCCCGGCCGGCCTGGCCGAGTGAGCTGAGCTTCGTCGCGGTGCCGCGGGGGAAAGGCGGGAAGGCGGGGCGAGGGGGCATTCCGGAGTTTCGGCGATCTGGGTTCTGGTTAGTTCTCTAAATGAGGGTCCCTTTCTGGTCCTGTTCATGAGGGTGCCGTTCTATCTTGGGGACCTAAACAGGGACCCGAATTTAGAGAACTACCCTTCTTGGAGTTCTAGCTTTCGGGGGTCGGCAGTTTTTGTCCCTTGGTGCTAGTTTTGCTCAGGCGTGTCGCTGGCGGACCCTAAACTCCGAACTCCAAACACTGAGCCCCTGACCCTAAACCCGAGATCCCAAACCCTAAACCCTAAATCCTACGCTCTGAACCCTGGACCCTAAGTCCCTTGAGCCCTAACCTTAAAGCTCCTGCTAAACCCGGAGCCCTGCTAGAAAGTACGAAAGGATCCGAACGACATCGCTGTCGCCTTCGAAGCTGCGAGGCTGGCCTTTCGGGAGGCCGCCCGGTTTAGAGAGTCCTTTAAGAGCTTTTGGGATTACGGTTTAGGGTTGAGGGTAATTGAGCTCTTAAGACTCTTTTAGGGTTTAGGGGGGCTTAAGGCGGTTAGGGTAGCTAAGCTAAGAGCTTCTAGTCTAGGACTCCGGTGTAGGGTTACGGCTGCGCTTTAGGGTTCAGGGCACAGGGGACCTTTCGAGGGGTTGTATCTATTAGAGTCACGAGGACTCCCAGCGGGCCTCCTGTTTGGATGTATTCGTTTGGCAGCTTAACACACAAGGCAGAGGGTTGACAGGGTTCGCATAGGGCTTTCATAAGGGGTTTTTCTGGGTTGAGATGACAGAAAATGGAGAGCATGAGCCGCTCTGGGTCTACTCAGACTTCTTGCAGATCAGCCGCGGCTCCGTTTGTTTACACTAGGGCCCCGGCCTAGGGCTTCCGCAACCTGTTTGTGACCCAAAGGACAAAGTGGACGCCATCGCAGTTGCAGCCCCTGACACCGACTTTCTGTTCTTGCTGGACGCTGGGCCGAAGGTCCGAAGGCTCGTCAAGGGCACCCTAGACCTCTAGACTCTAGACCCCATGTCTCGGGTCGAAAAGCAGAACTCCCAGCGGTGCATCCCCTATTCCGGAGGGTCAGCATGACTGCCGGAGCTTTCTGAGCCAACTTGCCCCGATAACCGACGCAGAGCCCTGGAAGCCGTAAGACTCTAACACTCATCCTGCAACCCTAAGCCCTAAGCCCAAAACCCCAAGGAACGGCTGGAGGCACAAGGCATTGCCACCTTGGCACTGCTGCCCTTGGCCACGGAGCCTGGCGTGGCCCAGGCATTCCAAGCCGTGGCTGAGGCTTGGACGTTTGTGCAAGTGCATATAATTTGATGCTAGATTAGACTACGGAGGTTATATTAGATTCATAGATTATATTAGAATAGACTAGATTAGATTATAATATATTACGGTATATTGTAGCACATTAGATTAGTGCCGGGCAGGTGGAACGGTTTCGGACAGATGAGCCAGCGGAGAGACGCCCCACGAAGAAGATTGTTCTGTGGCCTGGCGGGAACTGGGACCCCTCCCCGGGTTTAGGCGAAAGTGGGGGTAGCTGGCCTCGATCTACAGTCACTGCTTTAATTTGCAGGAGACATGAATTCGGTGTCATGTCGGGGATACCATAAACCCTAAACCATAAACCCTACACCCTAAACCCTAAACCCTAAACGCTAAACCCTAAACCCCCGACTTCGTTTGAGTTGCATCCACAACCAGCCAGGCAGGCAGAGGGCTGGAGCTCCATCGAGGACTTGGGCGCTGCAGAGTTTGGCACCGGCCAGGTGGCACTAGCGCATGGCAGAAGGGAACCAATAGAAAGAGAGATTGAGACCATTGCCGCTGCACGGAATGTAAGAGCTGCTACAGCCGGCCGCATGCGACGCTCGATCTTGCAAGGGTTTCAGGTAGTTAGAAGTTCAATCAGCTCTCATGGTCCATCAGCCACGGCTGGATGATCCATTCCATGTCTTTGGACCGAAGGTGGCTTGAAGTGGGAGTGTCCGACTTACATAGCTCCAGGTGGACCCTGTCCTTCTGAACAGCCTGCGCGTGAAACTCTGCGAGTTGAACTACCTGCAGGGCCATGCAGCTGGGATGCCCCACTTTAAGAATTGGTTTGAGCATCTCGAGACCGTCTGACCTTCGAATATGTGCAGAGTTTGTGCGGATGCCGATAGGGCGATGTTACCAGAAACCTCCGCACTACAGCCAAGATTGTATCTTGCATCTTGGGCCGTTTGTGTTGAAAGACCGTGACGGTTACCTCAACTATGAAGTTCTTGACTACGAGGGCTGCCTACGGAAGATGGTAGTCCCCTGTGACCATCATGCCTTGGTGCTCCGGTTGAACTATGAGAATCCCTTCGGTTATTCGAATTACTATTAGCATTGTTACTTCTACTGCTGCTGCTGCTACTG